AAAAAAAAAGATAGCTGAAGTAGCTATATTAACATAAGACATTTTCAGTCATAATACTTGTTCAGGTAACAACTGATAAAGAAAAAAAATGATAGCAACAAAAAACTACTATAATTAGTAGCTAACAGTTTGAATTAACCTACACTGACATAGTCACAACAGTAACTACACAGATTTTTAAAAAAGCAGTCCGTACCTGTGTGATACGCATTGTCTACCCTGTCCACAGAGTAGATCTACAGACCCTCTGCAACAATGGGATGAAAACTGCTGATTCAAGGGGCCTATAATTAAGCCATTACTTCCAGCTAGTTAGCCTGGTATTTATTATAAAGAGGTCATCAAAATTCCACCAGATCACCCTCTTGAGTTGGCTATGCTTTTGCCTTCAATTTGTATCCAATTGATAAGAGAATCAGCATGTAAAGATCATGTACAGTATCAGTTCTCAGTCCCTCAAACACTCTGAAATCTCTCAAATCACTGCTGAAAATCATTTTCATTAAATCATTCAATATACCGTATAAGGCCCTATCTTGAAAAACCAGTGTTAAGCCCTGTTTGTAATGCAGCTTTCTAACAGGTTTGCATCCTATTTTCCAAGTTCTTACAGGGATAATGAAGGAATTTATCAGATTGCTAAAATTTCTTCATACTTTTTTTTATTTTAAAGAATTATTTTATTTAGGAACCAGCAGTTAGCGTAATGGCTATGTCGCTGGACTCCCACATAGTCAACCACAGTTTGCGTCCCGGACCCGGTGGCTTAAAACTCACACCAGGCGTGTGTGCGTGCGTGCCCAATATCCCGAGAGGAGAATGGAGGAGAAGGGATTGCAGCATGGCCATCCCCGGGGGTGATTTCTTGCTTTCTGCCTCTCTGTCTCTCTCTGTCTGTCTGGAGAGCGCACGCACCCTATAGCGAAAACGTCTCAAAAAAAAAAATTAAAAAAAAAAAGAATTATTTTATTTAAATTTATTTATTTATTTATATTTGACCAGAGAGAAACACAATGAGAGAGACAGAGAGAGAAGGAAAGTGACAAAGCAAGCTGCCAAGCCCAGGACTTGAACCACAGTTGGCCATGTGGGAGTTCAGTGCCCTTAACCACTACACCACCTGCTGGCCTCCTCCTTATAAAAATTTAACCATGAAACTATCATAGAGCACTTTCTAGGAAAAAAAATGGATCTGTCAAAGTTCAATTACAAAGTTTTACAAACTAGATGTTGAACCTCTTTTATAATTCATGACTAAAAAAACAAAACAAAACAAAACAAAACAAAAAAACAAAAAAAAACATGCTATTGAGAACTATCCCAAAATCTTAATTGAGGTAAAACATACATGACTCATTCCTTTTTATACTTCTCTAAGTATATACTATCCTCCACAACAAGTATGTATTCATTTTTTAAATGCTTAAACTTAAAAATATATGTAATTATTATACTTCCTTCTATCACATACAAAAATTATGTGACCTTTTCTGTCTTTTTATCTAGCATACCAGGAAACTCAAATCAAAATCACTTATGCTCCCAGTCACAGTGGATAAGATGCCTTCTTGTCAACATTTTTGCTGCACAGACATTTCCACAGCTTTGGTTTCCTATTCTTCAACAACTTCACTGCAAATATCTTTCACTATAAACCACAACTACTCTTTAGAAAGAGATATGATATAAATATGTAATTTATTTATATAACAAATTACAATGTTATATAACATGTAATACTAAAAAAAGAGTAGTTAACTGTATTTGAGCCATTCTGTTTACTAGTATTATATTCATATCACGTGTAACAATTGTAACTCTTCATAAACTACAAACATAAAAGAAAGCCAACGGCAAAGAATAGAGAAACGGCACTCACCTGTCAAGAAATAAGAGAACATTACACTTTCATAAGCCACCTCATCTTTCATGGGACAGGTACTAAGAAGAAAACGTAATCTCCACAGCAAGAGCTAATTCCACTCCTCTGTCTTGGCCATTTAATCTCTGCAACAAAGTGTTAAGGGGTAATTTATCAAAAAATGGACTCAATAAGCAGCAAAATAATGGTTCCCTCTGTAAAATTCTACATTTTACATGCCTCACAAGGGCCACAACCCTCAATTACTGAGAAGGTCCACTCACTAAAGTAATCAGTCCAAATGTGTCAGAGAACTAAGCCTGGTCATCTGAAATCATGCGTGTCTAGGCAGCTGCTGCTCCCAAGTGTCAGGTCCCATGAGCATTGTTTGCATAACATTTATAGAAATGAATCTACATCCCAGACACTACAGCAGGAAGCACAGAGGTGAGGAAATTTCCTCTACCAAGCTGTGGGGGGGAGTGGCACAGCTAAAATGTTACACTGCATGAGGCTGACCCACATGGGAAGTTTCCAGGTTCAAGTCAGAGACCTCCCCGAGTATGTCAGGCATGTACATGATCCAGGGCTGGCTAAGGCTGGGGGTAAGGAAGATCATGCTGAGGTTCTCTCTCTACCTAACTCATGGAAGAGATAAACAAACTTTAAAAAAAAAAATTTTAAAAAATAAGTCCTAGGAATATCAGTCACACAGCTGGTATGCACTTTTGGTCTGCAATAAAAATATGTTTCCTAAAGGGCCTCACAGGAAGCAAAATGAGGTGAAAGTGACCTCAAAAAAGCAGTCATGGGCTTTCCAGTCTACTCCTTCTGGATCTGCATTCTGGAGCAGCTCTCAAAGATAAGGAAGCAGTGGCCTGAGCACTCTGCTACAGTGGCGCCAGATTAGCCGGCTGTGCTTTGTTCTCCTATCAAGGGCAGAGACAGAATTCTTTCCCACTATCACCAAGCGCACAGCCCACTGCACACAAGTGGTACTTACAAAGCACTGTTCGGCTAAAGGCTGATTCCTGTTCATACTGGCCACTACACGGTACGGGGCCCAAACTGTTCTCTTAGAGCTCAGAGAATTTTCAGAATGTTTCACAAACATCTCTGCGTTTCTGACCTGAGACGGTCAAACACGGTGACAAGCTAGGAAGACATCCCCAAGAGCCGTAATAACACTGCGCCGGCTCCAGCAGCCCAGCACCCCCCCAGCCCCCGACCAGGCGAGATCTCGCAGCAGCAGCCCCGGGAGCCCCGCGTCCTCCTCTCGAACCCGAGGCTTGTCCACACTCACCCTGCTCCCACACTCATCGCAGGTGCCCTCCAACAACTAGACTTTCACACCTGGAGAACCTCGGGTCTTTGGCACACTTGGGGTGACTCAGTCTCGGGCACACTCAGCTTACACCCGTGGTCTCTCTCACATTCAGTCGCACACTCAGCGCCTCTCATACGCTCACACTCGGGGTCTCGCATCTCACACCCAGAGTTTCCTCGTCTCCCTCGCACTAGGGTCTGGCACACTCCGTCACCATCAGGCTCAGCGTCTCTCTTGCTCTCACACGTGTGCGCGCACACGGTCTGTGTCACACTCAGAGTCTCTCCCCCCCCACGAGCCACCCTGACGCTCGAGGTCCCTTTTACACTCACGGCGTCCCCCTCTCGCTCGCAGCGTCTCCCACGCGGCCCCTGCCCGCCCGCGCCGTTTCCGGCCGCATCCCGCACTCGGCTTCGGCGGCGAGGTCGGCCCCACAGGCCGCGGCCCTGGCTCAAGTCC